CTAGAAACGTTGCGTCATAGTAGTCACGTGACCCGCTGACACAACAATATTTTGGTTATAAGTTTCGAAAAAGCAAATTTTTGAAGGGATGCAACAAGAATTATCTGTTCTGAATTGGGCAGCTTATATATTTGGAGACACTTATCAAATGTGAAAAAATTTTAAAGATAAGTTTTATACATTCAAGATAAACATATTCCTTACAGAAAGAAAAGAGTGACTTCAAGTAAGAAACCAAGTTCGCTCACAAAGGGTATAAGAGATAAAATTAAAGAAAAGCATCACAAGTTTAAGAAATTTAAATTAACTAGTATGATGGGAGATTTAGAAGATTATAGAAAATCAATTTAGAATATTGGTCAAACAGGAAAAAAGGACATTAAAAAGGATGTATGAAAAAAGATTGTCTGAAAATGTAAAAATTAACAGTAAGGATTTCTTTAAACGGTAAACAAAATGCTAGGATGGTGGTAGGACCCTCGAGGGATGATAAAGGAAGGCTTGTATCCTATAGTTATAAGATGGCTGAGCTATTAAATTCTGGTTTTTCTTCAGTTTTTACTAATGAAGATTTAAACAGTATTCCTCATCTTGAACAGTTGATAGATGGAAACAAGATCAAACAAGATGACTGCATTAATTCTGAGCTTGTTAAGAAAAAATTGGAAAAATTAAAGAATGATAAGGCTTCTGGGCCAGATAACATTTCCCCAAGGGTTTTGAAGGAGGTTATGGATTGGATATGTGAGCCACTTGCTACAGTTTTGTGTAAGTCCTTGAACAGTGGACAAGTGTCAGAGGATTGGAAGTTAGCTAATGTCACTCCACTTTCCAAGGGAGGTAATAAACATTGTCTCAGTAATTATAGGCTTATTAGCCTTACATCAATTGTGGGAAAGTTTTGGGAAGTCTAATAAAAGATGCTTTGCAAAGTCATTTAACAAAGCTTAGAATTTTATTGGATAGTCAACATGGTTTCACTAAGGGAAAATCTTGCCTTACAAATCTTTTGAAATTCTTTGAAAAGGTTACAGCTTATGAAGATGAGGGTAAGGGTGTTGATTTGGTGTAGCTAGAGTTTCAGAAAGCATTTGACAGGATGCCACATAAAATGCTTGTAAAAAAACTACCTTTACAGGTGTGGGGGGATAAGTTAGCTAATTGGATAGAAGAGTGGCTGGATGAAAGAAAGCAGAGTGTTGTTATAAATGGAGTTCAGTTAAACCAGATTAATGTTACTAGTGGAGAACCTCAGAGCTCAGTCTATGGATCTTTGCTCTTTTTCATTTACATCAATACATAGATGAAGGAATGGTCAACAAGTTACTTAAATTTGCCAGTGATATTAAGGTCTTGGGTGTTACTAGCTGTGAAGAGAATGTTGCTGCTTTATAGAAGGATTTAGATCATTTAGTGAGTTAGGCAAATAAATGGCAGATGGGTTTTAATTATAATAAATGCAAGTTAATGCATGTGGGTTATCATAATTTGAATTATAAGTATAATTTGGATGGGAATAACCTTAACAGTGTTATAAAAGAAATGGATCTTGGTGTAATGGTTGATCAATCTCTTAAGCCATCCAAGCAGTGTTCTGTTACTAGTGGTGGGGCAAATAGGATTTTAGGCTATAGCTACAGAAATATTGAGTACAAGTCTAAAGAGGTTATAATTTCATTGCATAGGTCACTGGTTATTCCACATTCGGAGTATTGTGTTCAGTCTTGGGCTCCTTACCTTATGAAGGACATTGAATTGTTGTAAAGGGTTCAGAGGAGGGTTACTAGAATGGTGCCTGGAATGGAGGGGTTATCACATGCGGAGATCTTAAGATCTCTGAAATTGTTTTCTCTTGAGAAAAGAAGAATTAGAAAGGGTCTGATTGAAGTGTTTAAAATTGTAAAGGGAACTTAAGGTGTTGATGCATCATCTTTTTTAATACTTAATGGTGAGAGTGGTAGGACTAGGGGACACTAATATAAATTTTGGCAGGGTAGGGGTCATCTTCAGCTAAGATAGTTTTCTTTTTCTATCAGGGTTGTTGGCCTTTGGAATGGGTTGCATTCAGATGTTGTGGAGGCAGTAAATTTAAGAGAAAGCTTAATAACTTTATGAATAATAAGGGCTGGCTTTAAGATTTGAATTTATTTGTTTAATAGTTTTAGTTTAGTTTAAAGATTGGGACAGCTAAGATGGGCCAATAGGTTTCTTGTTGTCCCTAAACATTATGTTATGTTATAACTGATACTTTGCACAATATATACATGAAAACAATTTTGTGATAACAAGCCCTGACATTTTGAAAACTCACCTGGTGATAAAGTGGCAGGAGGAGGTGTAGCAAAACTTAGTGAATCTATCTCAATTTCTATCACTTGGTTGTTCAAATCCTTCAAGGGAAACTCCCCATTTGATATCATTGTTGCTATGGTCTCCATAATGAGTGTAACATTAACTTGGTTAGGATCCAGTTCAAAGAAGACATCAACAGATCCTTGTTAGAGGAAATAAATATATGAATGTTTAGTTTCAGTTAAACATTAAAATTAAATAAAGTTTGAAAACCCAGAGTATATATATATTACAGTATATTCATTCAAATATAGTACTGGTTATAACATGAGGCATAAATAATTAAACTTTTCATAAATCAACTATTTGTTCCATAGCTTTGTGTTATTAATACATAGATAAGACCAGACATATTTGTACTGTTTTCTACTTTATTACTACACTTTTTTGTTTTTATAAGCTGTGATGAATGACGGTAATATCTCAAACCAAGAACCACACAAGATATACTGGTCAAAAATAAATTTAACCCACCAGGTTGTGCATCCAAGTTACGTATAGCTGATGGTGGAATATTTAATAATTTTGCTATCTGTTTCTTCATATTTTCCAGGAATTCACTTTTTCTATCACCAACTAGAAGCTTGTAGTCTCCATTAATTTTGAAGCTTACTCGTTGGGCTTTTGAGACTACAGAAATATAAAATAATACCATTTATAGTTTATGTAATCTACTAGTTTGACAAAATTATTTTTAGCATGTTTTTTTTTTCAGAGGTCCTATTGATTCATACAAAAACAAAAAACACACCAAATTATGAGTTAAGTTTGTTTATCCTGAGGTACTGTACAATTAAAGAATCCAAGTTAATTTCCTCTATGCATATTTTAATGATAAAAATTTATTACCTTTAGTATTTTGGAAAGAAGTTTTAACTTGAACCCACAAGTACTTCAGATTATGTAGTTTGGTGTATTACTAATCCATGAAAATCACTACATTAATTGTTATTGTACTGAATCAAGTGTCATATGCTTGAATTTAAAAACTATATATATATACACACATGATGAGATCCCGCTATAAAATTATTATTTTCACAGAATTTAGGACAAAACAAAGACAACTGTATGTTTCACAAATACTTCTTTTATTAATGTCTATGTTTCATCATTGTTCATTTTATCTTTTTTAAGAAAACGTTTTAACTTCAAACAGAAGTAGCTCTAGAGATAGCAAGGCCCTAGGCGAAAGTCATACACGAGGCCCCTTGACGTGAGAAAAACATTTCATATATTAAGTGAAATAAAACATCAATATATGATCACAACAATTTATTGGATAGATACAATTACAATTATATTTCATTTTTCTGCATTTGGTAGTGCTAAATTCATCTATAACAAAGGAATAATCTAATTTTGAAGCCAAATTATGTTCAGTAGACAGACTAGCCAATGCTAATAACTTCTCTGACACATAGTAGATCTCAAGTAAGTTTTTATTAATTTTAATTTTGAAAAAGATCTTTCTGCTGAAGCAACTGTTACCGGAATTGTAATATAATGCTACATAAACATTAGGATAAACTTCAATTAAACTATCATCTATAATATATTTTAGTGAATCATGAATGTCTATGTACAGTCCTGGTATACAATCTTAGTTCCTCAAATAATTCTTTGCCATTTATATTGGAGTTGGAAGATTCAGACAGCATAAATAGCACTTGTAGTTCTTTACAACACTATAAAAGTTCTTCATCAGACTTGTTCTTTAAAGATGAAATATTGTAGAGAAAACCAAAATTGATGTAGTAGGTTTTTAATCCCTCAAGTCGAGGTCCAGCATTTGCATAAATCATTTCAACAATGACATTCAAATATCCAGTTTTGAAAATGTCTGCAGGGTTAGCACTAGTTTCATCTGACACTCATAATCAAAATGTATTTTCTTCTTACATAGACTAATTTCTTCAAAATTCTTCTGAATGCTCATTTCATGAGCTATTTCATTGGAAGTCACTATAGCAGAGTGAAACCTGTTTCTTCTATAATCATCTAGCCAGCATAGAAATTCCTCAAAATGTTTCAATGCCGTGTCCAACTGCATATTACACTGTTGTCATACTTTACTAATTAGGTTTATTTTCACTAAAATATCATACCACACTACTAAAAAAAGTATAAACTCGTATGAGAAAATTTCTTCTTGCATCGAATTGCATTCACTACAAAATGTTGGATCGCTGCTTATTTCTGACAGTTTTTCTAAGCAATCAGCAATATCTTTTAATTGGTACTGGGCAGCCTTCACACTCTCCACTCTTCATTCCCATCTGGTTTTGGACAAAGGCTTGACAGTAATATTTACTCTTTCTTTTAACATAATCCACCTTTTGGATGAACCAGAAAATAACATATACAACCTTTGTAAAATAATCTAGCCTTTGTACTAGATGCTGCTGCATCACCAAGTACTAAATTCCAACTGTGACATCCACATGGTGTAAAGAAGGCTAAAGGATTAATATTTAGTATTTTTTTCTCCCCACATTAGCTCTATTATCATATTCTTGTCCAGTCCTAGGTTGTTGATTTGTGAAAGTAAGCAATTTGTTAATCCTTTAGCCATAGTTTTTTCTACCAGTATAAATCCGACAAAATGTTCCTGAATGTCTCCCAACTTTTCAGCAAAGTGATGCAATATCATCATCATATGTTTGGTGTGACTTATGTCTGTATACAATCCAGAATTTTTGAATAATATTTTGTTTGCTGTATATTTTGAATAATTAAAAGTTTATTATGTTTGACCATCAATGCTATTAACTCATTTTTAATGTTTTTTTTCCAAATAATGTCAATGAAGACTATTATCTTCTATGTGTTGTAAGTGTTCTTGAAGAAGAGGATTAAACTTCACAGTAAATTTAACCAGGTCTAAGAAGTTTCCACTTCTTTCCTGTTCTAAACTATCCCTATGTCCTCTAAATGCCATGTTATGTGAAGCTAAATACTGAGTTATGGCCAAGAGTCTTTTCAAAATATCATGCCAGTGTTGCTTTTCCTGCTATATTTGATTTTGAATTTCTGTATCAATAGTCTTTCTGCATTTCAGCCTCTTTTCTGATTCCATTCATTTCAAGGCACGCTCTATGTGATCTGAACAGTTCTCATGAGGCTTAAGATGACTACTGAAGTTCTTCCAATCATTACAGCAGTGAGATACTAACGCTACACTTGAGGATGAGAATAGATGACAGGCAAAACATTAAACAATGTTTTTGCTTGGAGAGTAAACCAACCAACGCCTTTCTTGTTTTTCCTTGTTGCTTAGAATTCTAATGTAATGGAATGAGCAGAAATGCCTGTTTTTATCATCCACTGGGAAAGTTACATTTTCTTCTTGAATCGGTCTTTTGAGAATATAATTTACTCTATCTATACCCTGTATTGGGAAATTCCATTCATCGGGATCATAACTAATAGATTCATATGTTTTGTTAAGATCATCGGATTTTAATGTATTAACGTTAACAGAATCTTGCTGACTTTTTGTAGACACTTCAGCAGATGTTTCTATCAGAGCATTATTATGCTCACAATGAATGGATGTGCTTTAAGAATGTTCTCCCTGGGCCAAACCATTTCCCGCATCTTCATTTTCATTCTCAATTGCACCTTCAGACTGATTTACTTTTTCTGCCTTTATATATTTCAGCGTTAAACCACGTAACTGTTCTTTGCATTCTTCCAAAGTCGCCCGCTTTCATCTTGTTACAAAACCCAAAATTTTCTGCCCTTGTCACGTTCTCTTCTGCTCTTACACATTTTTGCGATGGGTATAATCTTATTATTTTATTATTTGTCTCTAATCACAGGTAATTCACTATATGACAAGAACCGTTACAAATTCATCCAAGCTTTCTGGTTGCTTTTCATGTGACTAACAAATTTGCACTCTGATTGAAATTGATGATTATGTACTCAATGGACAAAGAAATAGAAAAAGTCATTTGATACATAAAAATCTCTGCTTCCTATTGGTTATAGGTAATATATAACTAAACGTAAGAGAGTATGTGACAGATGAATGTGGCAGAAGGGGTCTCATTTTCTATTTGATAGCTCTGTGACCAAACAAAACTGGGAGCTATAAAAATTATGATTTGTCTGAGCAACTTATAGGAAGTACTTTACGTTAAATTTTGCACATATCCAAGGGGTGATAATAAAATAAAGAAGAGAACAAACCTTGAGAAAATGTGTCACACCCATCACACTAGGGGAAATTCAGGATTTTTAAAAATATTCCCTTACAGAATTAAGAACTTAAAACTTATAGAATATTAAAATATGGATTATTATCTAAGATTTTATGCTATATTAATTGCTTTAATATAAACAAAAAGTAGTTTAATAAAATTTTGAACATAAGACATAACCCTTGCGTCATGTGCAGAAAAGGATACCCAGGTGGATAGGATGAAAAAAATGTTTTCAAAAGTGTGCATATTTTGTAAAAGATACATTACAAGAGTTAGTGCACTTACATTAGATTGTTTAATATAGTTTAATGTAGTATAATTACATTTTGTTAAACAATAGTCCACTAATTATACATGCTATTTTTAAACTAATTTCTAAGATAGCTAATACTTCATTGTTCAAGCCTAGGTAGCATACCCATGACTGTACCAGCACCCTGGTGGATAGTAGCCTACTCAAACAAACATACATCAGTCTTGTCAGGAAAAGATGCCTACTTGATACCATTGTTCACCATTGCTATATTTATCTCAACCATGCTCAGCTTAACCAGAAATGCTCAGTGTCCAGCATGCAAAATAATTGAAAAATTAAGTCCATGCCTTGAGCGAGGCTGGGAGCAGTAATTTTGCTAGGCTAAAACAATTCCACCTTTATAGTGGTCTTGCACAAGGCCGTGACCTAGTTCGGCGTACAGTAGAGCCACCTCAGACTTCAAATTACTGATTTGTTTTTAACATATTAACTTCCAGTGCAGTCCGTATATTTATCGTATTGAGTGATTTTGTGTTTTTGTCTGTTATAGCATTCAGTGTAAAGAAATGGTCAAAAATGGATGAAATAATTAATTTTTCTGCACAAAATACATAGGATATCCCAACAGTAGTTAATAAGTTTAGCTGCAATACTGATAGCAGTACCAGATTAATGCATAGGCCACCTAGGCACAGGCCTAGGGCCCCACTAGCCACTGAAGTAAAAGCAATTATGGTTCATAAAACTTGCGAAATAGAGGAAAGATCGAATTATCATCATTATTATTATTCCCAAATATTACCTGGGCCTAGGGCCCACTAAATCTGGCCCTGATTGACAATACATTTGTTCAGATTTTTTTCTGTATGACTCGTATGTTATTAGAGAATAATGAACAAAATTCATGTATTTACAAGTAATTTGTTGCATAGATAATTTAGATAAATGTGTTTATAAAGTGAAATTTACCAGGGGGAAAAGTGTTGGGACTTTCAGTTTCAGGAGTCACTGTTGATTTGTAGTTACTGCCATTAACCTTGAACACCCTATTCATCATAAAAAATACATTATAGAATCATTCAGTAAAGAAAGCAAGAGAAAAAACTTAAATATATGCACATCACTTTAAAAATACAGCACACATATACAAATGTATTTTTCATACAATTTTTTTTTTGTTTTTTTAAATTTTAAATTTCCTCAATAAAGATCTAATGTTATAATTCTTTATTAAAAAAAAGTATCATAACTTTTCAGAAACCAATTTTCTATTGCCATAGTTACGGATGAAAAGAATAATTATCTATCTAAGTAAGTAATAACGTTTTTATCAAATTTGGGTTGAGAGAACCTCAGCTGAAAATTACAAGGAAACAGCACTCCATAGTTTTGGTTGAAACTGACTAAAATAATCATTAATTCTCAACCTCTTGTTCATGTGATCTTTGTTAAAAATTACTAAAATAATGATATCTTTGTCTAAGGAGTCAACATTTCTCAGTCAAGAATTAGTAAAAATATGTACACATGCATACATACATATATTTAAATGAACAAAACAAGCCCAAACAACAACAAATTAAATTAAAGACGCTGCACAAATTAAAAGGGTCTCCAGGGTACAGGCTATAATGTGGGATATAAAACGTGTCCTGGGTTTTGGAGGTAATTGTGGAAGTAGGATCCACATTGCAGTGGGGATACGCTGTCTATCAGTTTTAACCTCCATTCACCAGTCTCACATAAAAAAAAATTCATAAAAAATCAAATAAAATCATATAAGAAATACAAGTTAGGAGAGAGAGAGATTGTATTTATTTTGGTGACTTTATTTACTGATATTGACTCATTTCTTCCTTCCTTCACATAAAATATATCAAGTTAATTTACAGTGGATAAAAATGATTTTGAAGCAGTTTCTTTAGGAGAGAAAATGACAAAAATGAACAGACTTACCCAACTACTCCAAAGGATTTACAGGAACAAATAGTTATTCCAGGGATAGTTGTATTAGTCATACAGTTTTGGCTATCCCAGTGATCAACTTCCCACATGAAACACTAGGAATTGCAAGGTAAATACTAATTGCTTCTAATATACTTAAAAAAAGGTAATAAAATGTGACATACACACAAAGAAAATGGAAAAGACTCAGTTTTTTGTTTACCAAAACTTTAAATGGAACTTACATATTAACCAAAAAAAAAGCAGCTTCAGCTTCAGATAAATTAAACTAGTTAAACACTTGTTAAGGTAGAATTTTGAAAAGCTAAGGAAACTATATGGACGGTGTTTACACTGACCTATGAAGTAGGAATTAAATTCTAAGTTGTGAAGAAGTGTAAACTGAGACCAGACAATGTTCAAACTTGTGATTCTTCTTTGCCTACAGACTTGAATACTACAATCTTAGTTTCACTTTAATGATTATTAAGACAACATTTTGTCAGGACCTTCAGCTATGCTAGTTGGCTTGAAAAACTCAAAATCTTTGTCATTTTGTATTTGTTGAATGTGCCAATTTCTAAGTTTTAATTACAGAAATTTTAAAGGTGATATTCTAGATGCAGCAGCTTAGTTAACTAAATTATATGCCAAGTAAGTAGAAACATAGGTCCTAATCTTGTTTAATTTCAGTTTCTAACTGTTCAGAAGAATCTGAAAAATTTTTATAGCATTATTTAAGCCCCCCCAGTGGCACAGCAATATGTCTGTAGACTTACAATGCTAGAAACCAGGTTTCAATACCCATGATTGGCAGAGCACAGATAGCCCATTGTGTAGCTTTGTGTTTAACTACAAACAGCATTATCTAAACTTTGCATGTTAAACAATATCTAATGCCAAGTTTTAGAAAACAACTAAACTAGGAAAATAATAAATTGACTTAAACTGAGCTTCTAGCTTTACATGTAATATTTTAATTATAATAATAGTCGTTTCAGAAAATAAATGAGGATTGTGTTTTTTTTAATGTAAATTAGGACTTGTGACAACATATTATGTCTTTACAGCATCTACTGATTTATAGCATTTTAGTAAATTATAAGATATATAT